TTTTCACCAAGCCCGGAAGCATTGATAATAATGCTACTTTTGGGGTTTCCGGCCATTTTAATCCCGTAATTCTGCCTGCTATCTCAAAGACAAGTCCCCAGAAGCGCTTTATCCCCTGGCACGTCCACCATATGTGCAGCATTGTGCCCTCTTCCAATCCTCATCTCCAACACATCTTTGTTGCCTGAGGGTTTATTTTATGTACTGTTGTTGGGCATCTATACCACCTAGTTGCTATTTTGAAATTCCTCTCCTGTATTTTAGCTGAAGTGCTAGATTTAAAAATTAATAGGAGAACTTTATGTCATTACTCTTTTGCGAATGTCTTTCCTATTTCACGTTCCCATTCCCTAATATAATAAGGCAGATCCGAGTGCATTGAGTATAGTAGTATATTGTATATTCTTGACACCCTCTGCTTACCTCCCGGTTTGTTTACGATCATTTTTTCGATTGGAGTAAATTCTCTTTCTGTGTATCCCTGAGAACACAGATGATTGAAAAAATGTTTGAGTTGGAAGTACTGAAGCCATCTGCCTTGGCTCGCCACTCCCGGTGGCAGGGAGCTCTATCAGGGGGAGTATTCCCATTTCATTCACTGCTTGGGATATTGGGGAGTGCCTCGAGGTCTTCCATCTCAAAAATCCTCTAACTCCAAGTCCCTGCGGAAAATCTGGATTACCGAGGATGGGTGTCAGTGGACCCACATAGGATAATACACCATAATTCTTAATCCGTGCATCCCATATATTTAATATCGTACCAGTTACGACAGATTGGCTCCACCCGCGCGGCCGTTTTTCCGGGCGAATAAATGATAATGATGTCAAGGGTGTTGTGACCTCAGCCTGTTATATAGTTACCCCGAGTTTAGGACGCACCGGGCAGAACCAATCCATCATTCTATTCAGGGTCGCTGACCTATAATAAATCTCCATATGTGGTAGGCTCCCCCCCCCTTCTGATCTTTTAACCAAAATATCATACCTCAGCCGCGCCCCTGCGGTGCCCCAAGTGTATTTAAGAAGCAATGATCGTAGTCTACGAAAATGTAACCGGGGGATTTTTGCCGGGGTCGTCTGGAACATGTAAATAAATCTTGGGAGGATGTCCATCTTAAATAAAGCCATCCTACCTAGCCACAAGTGTTTGCTCTTTCTTCATGCCTCCATTCGTTTTTGTGCCATCTCCAAGAGGGGTATATAATTAAGCTCGTATAATTTTTTTAAATCTGCAGGGATTTTTACACCTAAATAATTAATCGCTACTGCGGCCCATACGATGAAAAATTAAGTCTCAGAATCTCCCGCTCGCCCTGGGGGAGAGTTACATCCAGACACTGAGACTTACTTACATTAATTACTTACTCGCCCGAATTGTTCTATCTCCTCCAGGGCCAACGGGAATGCTATTCTAGGATTTGTGATGTATAACAACCAGTCATCCGCAAAAATACTTAGTTTATGTGTTCTGTCCTTAATTTTCATTCCTCCAATATCTATATTCCTTCGTATTGCCATAGCTATGTGTTCCATTGCAATAATATACGGCAAGGGGGAAAGTGGGCATACCTGACGAGTCCTATTAGTTATTTTTACTGGGTCTGATAATATACCATTAATCCGTATACGGGCTGTAGAAGTGGTATATAATGCCATGATTTTTTGTAATTAAGTGTGGTATCCCTATTTGATCTAATGATGCCTTCATGAAACTCCAATCCAGCCTATCAAAGGCCTTCTCGGCATCCACTGATAACAGGCACAGCGGGTATCCACGTCTGTGGGCATATTGGATAAGAGATATTGTTCTAACGGTATTGTCCCTGGCCTCCCTGCCAGGGACACACCTCGCCTGATCCGGATCTATTACTGACTCGATGTGGGGTTGTAAACGCTGAGCTATGATTTTGGTGTATATTTTCAAGTCCACATTTATCAGGGAGATTGGCCTATAACTTGCACACTGTGTCGGGTCTGTCTTTTCTTTATGTATCAAGGTTATATAGGCTTCCTGGCTCTGTTGAGGAAATCCACCCTCCTCACTGATAGCATTAAAAGTGGTATACATAATTGGGGCCAATTCCCCTGACAACGACCTGTAAAATGTCCCTGTCAGCCCATCAGGGCCCGGGCTCTTCCCCATCGGCATCGAATGAATCACCTCTTTTATCTCTTCTGGTGTGAAGGGAATATTTAATGATTCTATGATATCGCTCCCCAGCCTAGGTAGTGCAGTCTGGGCGACATATTGGGTCTTCAATTCTTTTTCTAAATCCCTCTCAGTTATAGATTTCCCCTCCCCTATATTATATAAATCAGTATAATAGTTAACAAACACTTCTGCTATCTTCTCTGAGGTATGAACCATAGTCTGTTTTGGACCACAAATTTTGGAAATATACAGTCTCCCTTGTCTGGCTCTAATCGCACGTGCTACAGATGTTCTGCTCTTATTTCCGAACTCGTACATGTTACGTTGAGAGCAATCTTTGTATCGTTGGTAAACTACATCTAATTTTTGATGTAACTCTGTCCTTTTTAGTTGTAATTCTTGGAAGGCCTCTATATCTCCATTACTTTTATGTTTGCACTCCAATTGATATATTTCCTCTAATAGGGTTCTAATACCTTCATTTCTCTTTTTTTTAATCAGGTCCCGTGTGAAATTAGAATTCCCCGGATAACACATTTCAGGGCTTCCCATTTTATTGTAGGTTTTGTGTGGTCATATTCATGGTCAGTCACAAAATTTGTAATTGCCTGAGTAACCGCCTGTTTAGTGACTGGATCTTGTAATAATGTCTCGTTTAACCTCCATGTTGCTTGTGATTTTAGAATATCTGTTGTTGTTATCGTGCAAAAGATGGGAGAGTGATCAGACCAAATTTGCACCCCAATGTGTGCACTGCTGTCTTAGTTAGTGGGTCTGGTAGCTGCCCTGTATACCACCCTCTGCAAGTTTCCTCTGAGCCTCTAGCAAACAGACCAATTCCTAGTGATTTACCTATCAGTCACTAAGGATTAGAAGTGTGACCTTTAGGAGGCTTGCCAAGGAACATGGCCCACAGTGTGCTCAGCAATAGTGAGCCTAATTGTCCCCTTTATGAGGGGTTATATTCAAGTTATTGGCCATAAAAGGTGTATGGGGATCCGGGTACTGCCCTGGGGGACACAAATCAATGGAAAAAAAGTTACAAAAATACAGTTTTTAAAGGAGCAGTGATTTTAACATCACTTAAAGGGTAACAATAAAAATGAAAAATTACTTTAAATATCGTGCCTGGGGGGTCCCCTTAAACTGCCTGTAAAGTGGTAAATCTGCACAATGTATAGAACCTGCGCAAAACTGAAATTTCTAAAGAAAAAAGTGCAGTTCCCCCTCCCAAACAACACCTTTGGGTCTGGTAGGAATGTTAGGAGGGACCACATTTTTTTAAAGTGTGGGGTTACCCCCAAAAGTCATACCAGACCATTAAGTTCTGGAAGGAATATTTAGGAAGGACCCCATGTAAAAAAAAAGTGTGTGGGGTTCCCCCTCAAACTCATACCAGATCCTTAAAGTCTGATAGGAATATTGAGGAAGGACCCCATGTAAAAAAAAAAAAAAAAGTGTGCGGGGTTTCCCCTTAAAGTAATACCAGGCACTTAAGGTCTGGTAGGAATTTTAAGGAGGAAAAATGAGGGGGAAAACATGAAGTCCTAAATTCTATACCAGACCCTTGATCCGAGCATAGGCCTGGCAGGGTTGGAAAGGGGTAAGGACGAGCGAACGCCCCTCCCTTCCATACCAGGCCATATGCCCTCGGCACTGGGAGGGTGCTTTTCCAGGGTTGCCCCTGGAAAAGCACCTTGTCCTGTGCCAATGGGGACAAGGGCCTCTTCCCCACAAGCCCTGGGGCGTTGGTTGTGGGGGTCTGTGGGCAGGGGGCTTATTCACATCAGGGTACCCCTTTAATAAAGGGGCAGAGTGACAACTAGCTCCGCCCAACTGTTTACAGTTGTGACAGGTGATCCATGATTGGGCAGAGTCATCATGACTTCGCCCAATCATGGCTTCACAGTTCTCTGTGCCCTGATTGTGCAAAGTCTTGTACCTGACCTGTGGTCAGGTGCAAGGCTTTAGCCAATCAGGGCTCACAAAGCACAGCGTGTTGTGAGGGAGGCTCAGCGGGCGAACATCCCGCCGAACACCCTGACAGTGTGTGTGTTCGCCAAACACAATAACTGCCGATGTTCGAGTCGAACTCACGTTCGGCTCGAACATCGAGCCGAACACTACTCAGCAACAGTACAGCCAATGCCTTTGTAGAGGTTTTTGTATTCTCTATATTATTTCAGAAAAGTTAACTATATTGTAGAACAAATTGCTTTGTACATACATGGATAATACGCTAAATCTTATCACACACACGCACACACCTTTAATGCTTTAGAAAAGCTGTAACTAAACTAACTAGAAAATAATATATGTACCATTATTACCTTTATAAGTGTTACAGAACTTGTATTACACTAGAAATATCCTCCCTCATCTATTTTACAACATACTAGGTTTACTAGAGTTCTGTTTTTACTAACTTTATTGGGGCATTCCAAAACTCCAGTATACTATAGGACCCTAATTATGATGTGGTGCATGTTTCACTTTTATATTTTAGTTTTAATCATAATTTTGGAACCAGCTGAGAGAAAGAAACAACCAAAGGGGATCTTTGTTCATTTACAAAGGGTGAGCTTAGCTCCCTTTCAACTGTCTCTTGTCAGGGGATGTTTAAACTCTCTTTCCACAGACAGGCCAACAAAGGAAACTAGAGAGAACAAAGGAAGATCAAATAAAATAGGACTGCCAAATTATATTTTGCTTTGAACAGCTGATTTCCTGTTAGTACCTGAAGAATACTGTAGTCCAGCATACGTAGCCTGTCAGGCAATCAGATAAACTGAAAATATACTATTTTTGCATTTCATTTTTACTATTATCACTTCTTTTATTCCCAGGTCAAATGGCTGGTGACCACACAAGACTGGAATTCCACAACATTGAAACTGGAATCATAACTGAGCGTCGTTACCTGACAGCTGTCCCTTCCAATTTCATTGGCCATCTACAAAGCCTAACCTTCAACAGCATGCCATACATTGACCTCTGCAAGAATGGAGATATTGATTATTGTGAACTGAATGCCCGCTTCGGGTTCAGAAACATCATTGCTGATCCAGTTACATTTAAGACAAAAGCCAGCTACGTTGCCTTGGCCACTTTGCAGGCATATACCTCTATGCACCTCTTCTTTCAGTTCAAGACCACGTCACCAGATGGCCTTATTCTTTATAACAGTGGTGATGGCAATGACTTTATCGTTGTTGAACTGGTTAAAGGGTAGGTACAGAGGACATAATGACTATTGTTGTTTCAGTTTTGCTTGGATTCTGGCACATACAATGGCTGGCTTATTAATTTGTTGATGCAGTCTAGCCCCACCTACAGTTACTATTCAGTGAGTTGATTATAATATCACTCTTCCCAGATGGAGTCACCTTACTGTAATGTAAACAAATAATTAGGGATCCGAGCTGAAAAATTGAATGGTGCCATTAAATTCTAAGATGAAGCAAAGGGTGCAGTGGCAGTACGAAGAGGGGTGTCCCATATTTTCTTTGGGGTCCTTAGATCTATAGCTCCGCCTCTGACTGGTGTATTGATGCATTCAAGAATTTTAAACTGATGACAAACTTTGCAGATTTTACATGTAGCACTTTTTTTTTTTTACCAGATTAGTTTAGTGCATATTCAGTGCTAGTCAGTTTCCAAAAACTCAGCCTAGAACAACTCATAAGCTATACTAATTAAGTAATTAATTTTTTTATATATAACTTATTCAAAAATTATGCCGCTAAATTTGTTGAACTATGGACAAAATAAAAAGTAACAACTAAATTAAAGCTCACTTTTTAAGTTGCAGTAACTTTTTTTTTTGTACAACCCCTAATTCTAAAAAAGTTGGGACATTTTGTAAAATCTACAAAAAACAGAATGCAATTATTTGCAAATTTCATAAACCCATATTTTATTCACAATAAAAAATAGGAAACATATCAAATGTTTAAACTGAGAAACAGTGTAGCATCCCCTCCTCTTTTAACAAGAAATTATGTAAATGTCTGGGAATTGAGGAGACCTTTTTTGCTGGAGTTTTGAGAGAGGAATGTTGTCCCATTCTTGCCTGATATTGGGTTCTAACTGCAGAACAGTCCTGGGTCTTCTTTGTTGTATTTTTCTTTTCAAGATGTGCCAATATTTTTAATTGGTGAAAGGTCTGGACTGCAGGCAAGCCAGTTAAACACCAAAACTCATCTACTATGAAGCCATGCATCTAGTGCGGTTTAACATTTCTCTGCTGCAGTATGCAAGGCCTTCCCTGAAAAAAGAAGTCTGGATGATAGCATATGCTGCTCTAAAACTTGGATATATATTTCAGCATTGATGGTACCTTTCCAGGTGTGTAAGCTGCCCATTCCATATGCACTAATGCACCTCCAATCCATTACAAATGCAGGCTTATGAACTAAGCGCTGATAACAAGCTGGAAGGTCCCTCTCCTGTTTAGCCTGGAGCATGTGGCGCCCAACAGACCATTTTAAATGAGCTTTGACCCAAAGAAGACAGCAACATTTCTGGATCATGTCCACATGTGGCTTCTTTTTCGAATATAGCTTTAACTTGCAATTTTGGATGGCACAGCAAACTGTGTTCACAGACAGGGATTTTTTGCAAGTATTCTTGAGCCCATGCAGTGATGTCCATCACAGAATCATGGCTGTTTTTAATGCAGTGCCACCTGAGGACCCGAAGATCACAGGCATCCAATATTGCGCTTTAGCCTTGTCCTTTGCACAGACATTTCTTCAGATTCTCTGAATCTTTTGATGATATTATGTACTGTAGATGATGATATATTTAAAGACTCTGTGATTGTACATTGAGGAACATTATTCTGAAATTGTTTGACAATTTTTAGATGCAAATTGGTGAACCCCTGCCCATCTTTACTTCTGAGTCACTCTGACTCTCTAAGATGCACTTTTTATAACCAATCATGTTACTGACCTGTTGCAAATTCACTTAATTCATTGCAAAATGTTCTTCCAGCTCTTCCTTGTTAGTGCCACTTACTTTGTCAGCTTTTTGTTGCTTTGTCCCAACTTTTTTAAAACGTGTTGCTGCCATCGATTTCAAAGTTAAAATATGTTTTTCTTAAAATGGTAAATTTTATCAGTTTAAACATTCTAGATGTTTTCTATTTTCTATTGTGAATTAAATATAGGTTTATGAGATCTGCAGATCATTGCATTCTGTTTTTTGTACATTTTACACAGCATCCCAACTTTCTTGGAATTGGGGTTGTAAAACAGGAGTAAACCAGAAGTAAAAAATTTTCTAAGCATCCTTCTCAATATAATAGTTGTTCCAACCCCTGTTACTGTCACTTTTTCTGAACAGCTTGGATAGCATGTTAATGTGCAGGAAAAATATAAATAAGGGCAAGTGTAATACAACACATATTCATATACTAAGGGGTCTATTTACTAAAGGGTGAAGAGTTTGCAGAAGGCATGAGAAGTGAACAATCTAGGACAACATAGCTGAACTGGAAAGTGGGCTGAATTGGAGAATGTTTCCAATACAGCTATGTTGTCCTAGATTGTTCACTTCTCCTGCCTTCCCCAAACTCTTCACCCTTTAGTGAATAGACCTGAAAATATTTGCATTACAGGTATTAACCATATACATTGACCAAAAAACAATCTTTTTTTGCTATAGTGTTTTCTTCAGACCCAGATTTATTTTCAAATATTTTTAAAGCTTTTTTTGTGGTGGATGAGAGTACAAAGGTGGATACATTTCTCCACTTTGGTCCACATATTCAATCAATAAACACTTTCAAGTTCTCTTGAGTTTCTTCCTTTGTATGCCCACTAGATGTCCTCAGTGTACTATTATTTTTCAGCTGCTTCAATAGATTGCGAGTGCAGTAGACTACAGAATTGTATTGTTGCTGCCAATGACATGAATGTAATGACCTAATTTGAGCTTATTTTAAAAAGCAAAGTGTGGTTGCATCAACATTTAGATTTCATCTCTAATTGTCTTAGATGACTGCACTTCACACATCATTGTTACCCTCTTTGCTTTATTGGAAATGCCTGGATAAATGTGTTGTTTATTTCATTGTTGTTTATCCTTTTCCACATAAATCTGTTGTACGGTGCTGAATTAAGTATGATTACCGAAAACTAAGTCAATGTATTACACAGAAAAAAACACTAGGAAAATGATGATAGCTGTGGTATAAACAAAAACTCTCCTTGTCTTTTAGGTATCTACATTATGTTTTCGACTTAGGCAATGGTGCAAATCTAATTAAAGGGAGCTCTAACAAGCCACTAAATGACCATCAGTGGCACAATGTAATGATATCACGAGACACCAGCAACCTCCATACTGTAAAAATTGACACAAAAATTACCACACAGAGCACAGCCGGAGCAAGAAACCTTTCTACTGCCCAGTATATAAATTGTATGCATGAGCATGTTTTATCTATTTACAAATGCTGAAAGTATCAAATATAATTGTCAATCTGCCCAAAATCCAGTGTGTTCCTAACTACCTGTTTTCACTGACAACACAGTGCTCCTGCACTGAAATCACAAAAAATATTTAGCGGTTGGTAAGGTGAATGAGTCTGGCAGCTGCATTCATGATAGACTGAAGGGGGGATATCCTGTGTGGTGGAAGGCCAATGAGGAGGGAGTTACAATAGTCAAGACGAGAGATAACAAGGGAGTGTATGAGTAGTTTTGCGGTGGGGTAGAGGGTGTTCTGTAGTCACGAAGGAGAAAACTTTGCAGAGCTGACAGCACTGATGGGAATTTCACTGCAGAAGAGGTGTTAGGCTCAACTCACAAAGCTTTAACTCAAGGAAAAGGATCTTTATTTTAACCATGTGACTTCAATTTTCAAATCTCATTGGACTCCACACTAAATGGTCATCACTTTTTTGGAAATAAGGATCCGTATCCTGGAACGTTTGCTTTGTGAATTGAGCTTATTGTGTTGTCAGCTGAAATAGGAAGTTAGGAGTGCACTGGGTTCTTGGTAGACCAATACAGCAATTTTAAAGGAATAAAACATGGGAAGAAGAAGTGAAGCACTGAATATTTTATTTTAATTTTGCCCAGACATACACACAAGTGGTTCCAGTGCCACCTAGATCCAGCACTAATTTAAATGTGGCTAACTGCAGGCTCTGTGGATCAATTAACATTTAAAGTTAACAGCAGAAGCACTGAAGTCATTCAAGTCCATCTCTCAGCAGCTCAGCTCCATTTTACCACAGCTTTAGGTCTGTGTCTATATTAGGGATTATAGGGCTGCATTGCTGCTGAGAACAAAGGGACGCGGGGGTCGGGTGTTGGGTTTGAGATTAGCTGCTGAGAAAATTGACTTCAGTGTTTCTGCTGTGAAATTCCAGAATGATTTGCTCCGCAGTGCCTGCAGCTACAGAGATCAGTGAGGGCTTGTTTTAAAACTTAACTACTGCTTATTAAGAATATATAAATAGTTCAGTGTCCAGCCTGGCCACAGATTCACCTTTAACCCCCACCTTATATACCAGGTAATACCTTAAGCTCTTACTATTTAACCCTGTTTTCTACATTCCTTCACATACCAATATCAGGTCTGCTAGGACTATGGGAGAGTATGGTGTCACTCAGGTTTTCAAATATACTGTAGCATAGTAGTTGTCAAATGTACCTCTTCTACATCTTACATCTTAAAACTTAGTCCTACCATGATCAAAATAAACGAAACAGATCAGAAACAAACAGGACCGTAGCAGGAATATAGCAGACGGGACAGTTCCAATGTGTGTGTAAACCTTAATCATTTGTAGAGCCAAGTATGCTGTTTACATTGACTGCTGCAGCTTTAACTACCAAGTCAGAGGTGTATTAAAAGAAATCATAAGGGTTGTTATAGATAAGTGGTGAGATATCTGCCAGTTCTCTCATGAATCAGTCAAGTGCTAAAACCAGACATATGTTCCCCCTGACTCAGCTGACTGTGGATGAAGTATGTTTGTGATAAAAGTTTCATATCTTTCTCTATATAGAAAATAATATAATCAGCGCTTGCTTGCTCTGCTCTTGCAGATCTTCCTACAGGACAGGGTCGTGCGCGGCCGGTAGGAGACAGGTCTTCTTTTGTTAACTAGTGGCTGTAAAAAATGCCTTAGGGAAAAATTATTTTGCCCCCAGGGGAGCCAGTGACAAGACAGGTAATTAGGATGCTAATCATGGCTTACCTCAAGTCTCTAGACATTTTACTGAGAAGTCACCTGTTTTAAAATAACATGTATTTCTCTTCACTCTCCTTGCTAATTAGGACATATTGTAAGAACGGTGAGGCTGTAAGCTGTTTTGTGGTTTGGTTTTGCAGTGTCAGGGAAGTATGCTAGATTCTGTTGAGCTCATTTATTGTGGTTGGGGTCAAGAGCAATGAGAAAATGAGAAGTGCAATAATCCATGGGAAGTTTACCAGATCAGAACAATGGATGATTGTTCCTGGTTGTTTGTCCTGGTTGTTTGTCCTGGTTGTTGTTATACTGCAGTTTGCTCAGTACTTGTTGATAATGGGACCCCCCCCCCCCCCAAAAAAAAAGGGTGGTGGTTTGATATTTGTGGAAGTATGTGCAGGAAGTTGGCAACTCAGTGTGCTGCTTCACGTGTGTACGGACCGGGGTGTACATAGTATGTTAAGCTGCTAGCTGTTACCTCTACCTGGGGAAGGGAGTCCCACATTTTTGTTGCTCTGACTGTAAAGAACCTCCCCGGCAATTGTAGATTAAACTTTCTTTCCTCTAACCTTAAATTGTGCCCATGTGTCCTCTTTAGGGATTGAGGATTAATCAAGTTGCTACCACCCTTACTGTCACCATTGATTAATTTGTAGGTAGCAATCATTTCTCATCATAAGTACCTTTCTAAGGTTAAAAAGTTGAGATAACCTAATTATTCCTTGTTGTTGAGGCCTTCTAGCTCCTTTTTTAACTTGATTTGCCGGACTGTCCACTGGATATGTATTAACGTTTATAAATTATAACTGCACTTATCTTTTAAAGCATGTCAACATAGTAAATAAGTAAATTATCCATGGTGGCAGCTCCTAATCCATGGGCAATTCACTGTGCATTTCTAGACCCAGCGTAATGAACTCTTTGCTCCACCTCTCTATCTCATTATTAGCCCAAAACTGTGATGGATGGGCTATGGACGAGATATGGAAGGGTTTGGGATTAGGAGCTCAAATCAAGAAGCTGCATCCATAGGTGCATTTCAGTCATCCAGAGCATTGAATTGGATAACAAACCTGACTTGCCACATGGAGGTGATTGTTTCAGAAAAATAGTGAAAAAAGTAAATAGCAAACGATTGTGCGGCGCTAGCAGTCACAGCTAGCTCTGTCCAATAGTTTCCTATCTGCTGCTGTAAAATAAAAAAAATTAAAAAAAACTCTCCCGGGCGCTCTGGGAGCCTCCCGCTCCCGGCCGCCAAGGAGAGAAACAGTGCTGTGTCTTTTTTTTCTTTATTCTGACACGAGGGGGTTGATTTACTAACCTTATAAACACACCACGAACATGTATACACCTCTGTAGTGTGTTCCCTCCCAGCATGATCTATGGGTGGAATCTAAACACCTTTGTAGTGTGTACACACCCAGCAGGTGTGTTGTGCAAAGCCAAGCATGAATTGCAAGGTGATGTTGTGTAAATTAGCTCTACGTTGTGTTGCTTGCGTTGATGAATGCAGGAATGTAAATGCATGAGCTAACCATTTTTGTCTAAACTGTGAAGCAGCATTATATATGCATCATGTGCATGATTTTTCCATATATGGCATTAGTGGAAATATGCTTTTAGAGACTTTTTGATAAATAAGTTTTGCTGTGTGAAAATCACACACACCTGGTGCGTGCGTGTGTCTAGGTTAGTAAATCATCCCCGCGATGTCAGAATAGAAAAATCGGCCAAAGCTATGGCCAGATCCTTCGGCAGCTTCGTGAATAGACCCCTTTGTTCTTTGTACTGTTTTACTATGTGTTACAATTTTCAAAAATGCGTCAATTTCCTTCTTCCTGATGTGTTTTTGTGCTTTTTATCTACCTAAAAATGTGCTTGGGCAGTATTTTGATTAATATTGGCACAGGATACAAGAGCAGCTTTCACAATGTAAATACATGGCCAAAAAGCACAGAAGGAAGCTTGAAGGAAAGGCACAAGCCGCAAGAAACATTGCACAAGCCAATACATTTAAGTCATCAAAAGATTGAATACCCTTCTAAAATGGTTTGAGCTGACAGCTTTCTCAGGTCATCTTGTCCTACAGATGTCATAGTGTGGATGCCAACTCTTCCCAAGGTGGCACACTCATTTCCAACATTTGTATGTGTCATATTTCTGTCTGAAAAGGAGAACGTACCAGTTGTTTACTTGTAATAGACAGGTTACAAGCAGAGTATATGTTGTCCTATTTCAAGCATATTCTTTACTTAATTAAGTTTGGTTATCAGCTCCACAGGAATCTACCAACTACTTTGTGGCAGATTTTTTTAAACTGTACAAATGCAGTACAAGATTTGACCAGCGGAGGGCAGACAGACCAACAAAATAACAACTCGCATCTATTGTTTCCTTTCATTAAAAAAAATATATTATCTTATATTTTAGTTGAAGACCTACATGTTTAAACGGAAATTGTACTGGATTTGTATTTTTTATAAAATCTCACATTTTAAATAAAAATATTTACGATATGCATGTAGAATAGGAATATATTTTCGGCAGTGTTTTCTGGGTTTAATTCCTAATACAAAATAGTATCAGACTGAATTTAAATGCATCCTTTTAGTACAGCCTGAAAAGTGAAACTTGCTGTCTAGTGGTTTAGGGCAACACCTTCATTACTTCTTGCTGTACTTAGATTATTTAGTATGGACATGCAAAGAGCAACGATGCTGTGCATGCTGCTGTAGCACATAGCAGTCCAAAAAGCTAAACTCCAGGCACCATGATTTTAGTATCTGTAGACACGTTATTAGCTTCTTACCTCTGCAGCATACAACGTTTTTTGTTTTATTCAATCAGCATAACACAGTTGGCTAATAACGTGAAAATAAAGTCAAAGCTTTTTAGTTTTGGATATAATAAGGGACCACTGTCAGTTTTTTTGTGCCCCACTGGGGAGATTTCATCTGTGCCCCACTGGGGAGATTTCCCTTTACTTTCCTGCCCATTAGCCACTACAGGAAGTGAGAAGTAATTTCTCTAAAGTGAAAGAAATCCCTGGTGGTCAGCAGGGTTACCATTGGAAGATTGTCCACCTATTCCTGTTATGGGGTGACAATGAAAATTTGGGATTTATTTTCATCTTCCCTTTTAGTAACAATGTTCACTGGGACAAATAGAGAGAGTGAACCTGCTTAACTGGGACACAGACA